GCGAGTCCTGAGTGATTCGCTTACGCTTATGGTTCAGCACAGGAAGGGAGGGGGTGAGTAGCTCAAATGTGCTGTTAGCATGTTAGCAGAGCGATGCTACTGTGAACCGAGGAGCTATTTTCTTGATGTGAGCTTCTACTCAGGGTTTTTTCTTCCAGTTCAGAACAGAAATGCTTTTGTTAAGAAACTGGCTGTTGTTCCCCCCCCACAATTATAATTATAAGCTAGATATATTTCTACTGATGGAATTAGTTTGCTAACAGCAACAGGGATTAGTCAGTGAGTCAGTTGGGCTTGTGAATCATGGTTCACAACTCAGTAAAGTGATTCTCAAGTATTGAACGATTCGTTCACGAATCGAACATCACTACTCCACACAACGCCCGACAGCTGCCTTTCATAGTGTGTAACTTGAAGGCCCTGAGTACTTTCTCCCACACTGAAAACACTGGGATGATCACATTATTTGAACATTACCTAATAAGACTGATTCAGGACAGACAGTTCTGTTAAACTTTCCTAGCAGTCCTTCACAAACAGGGAACAGTCTGTCTATTCTCTCCATCTGTCAGCTGCTGCTGGCTCTTCCTCCTCCTCTTCCTCACACACTGCTGAGTTTGTCCTGGTGGATCATCAGGGCTGCAAAGCCTCACAGATGATGTGCAGCAGTGGGTCCCTCAGTCTGTCCTCACTCTGGACACTTGCAGTCGTCACACATGGAAATCAAATGTGTGATAAGCTGCAGGATTCAAACACAAGTGTAACTTATAAACACATGTTCATACTTTTATTCCACAATCAGAGAGAAAGAAACAGAGAGAGAGTGCAGGACAGACAGACAGGTGACAGTCTCAGGTGTACACACTGCCACACAACAGCACAGAGAAGGAGGATTTAGTGTTTGTGTTATTACGAGTGTAAACAAGAAGAGTTCCAGATGGTGCAGTGGACACATGTGTGACTGCTGTGATTAAAGCATCTTTCTTTCAGCTTAACGAGTGAACCGTCAGCTCGTTCAAACACACGTTAAAGTCCGTTTGGCTCGACACCACCGAACAGAGGCAGCAATATAACACAGCTAACATTAACAGTGCAGTGAATCCTGCTTGTGCCGTGATATCAGGACTGCAAACCGAGCAGCATCACTGACTTTCAGCTTGTTGTGTTTGTGGATATATGACTGACTTTAATTATCCACAAAATCATCACATTCTCTGTAGGATTAAGGTCGACTATTGTATCGTATATTTTAAAGTGAAGGCTTTAGAACCAAGTTAGTACAAACATCACTAATGTCACATAACTTTGCCGACATGTGCCCAACAGTAATGTTTTAATGTTCTTCATTATTAAACATTCGCACATAAATAAGGCTCTCCAGCTACACATAACAAGGTGTCAGTTTTAAAGTTAACACAGCAAGAGTCAATTGAGCCCAGAAATGAATTGTCCATGGCTGACTGTTATTGCCCAAACTCATATCTTCTTTTTCCTTTACAAACATAAATTCAGAGTTTTTATTCTCAGTCCTTGGTTCATTTAACTCAGTAGCAGTTAAACTGGATGTCTCACACTCACCAGAATTACATTGATTAGTCTTGGTCATACAGGCAGAATTTACTTCATTACAGCCTCTTTGTTCATATAATCAAATCAAAATGTATTTCTATAGCACCAAAGTGCTTCACAATTAGCAAAGAACAGAGAAAACAATAGAGAAACAAATACCGATAAATGAGAAGACAATGTATTAACATAAAAAACAAACAAACATAACAAACATAAAACAGGCCTGATGATAATCAAACTCAACTTGAATTAAAAGCCAAGGTGAAAAAAAAGTTTTAAGATGCAATTTAAAAGACTGAATATTCTCTGAAGTACGAATCTCTTCAATGAAACTACTGTACTACACTGCTGAGTGACCGTCTTCTGCTCGTCAAATACATGTCATTGCAATGTTGACTCTGTGCTAACTTGCATATGCCAAATAAAACTGAAACTGAAAGGCTGCAGATAGATAAGAGTGAGAAATAAATTGCGTTCATGTTTGCAATTTTGTCTTGTTACACAATATTTGGAATTAAATAAAACAAACAAAACACTACATTTTAGGAAATATTAGTGGGTGTTTTCGTGTTTGGTATTTTCTACTACTTGGACACTAACGTGGCCGTCCAATGAGATGACGGTGCAGTGGCCCGCGGCTCATTTGAGTTTGAGACCCCTGCTCTAAGAACTCCAAAGCGCTTTACACTACATCCAGTCATCCACATTCACACACTGGTGATGGCAGCTACATTGTATCCACAGCTGCCCTGGGGCGCACTGACAGAGGCGAGGCTGCCGGACTTCATTAAGCTTCGTTTAATGACCAAAAGAACGAGATCGTGGATATAAGTGGCAGAAATTAGCTTTCTCCGAATGGTGGCTGCCCTCTCCCTTACAGATAGTGGCCTCCTCCTGAGTGAGGTGTTCCAGGCATAATAGCAATGTATATTTTATTGAGAAACTCGTCTCTGCATTTAACCCATTCATTCAGTGAAGCAGTGGGCAGCAGTGTATAGGGACAGTACCTTGCTCAGGGGTACCTCAGGGTAGCCGTTCGGGGGATTCGAACCCCCAACCTTCCAACCATGGGGCCACCACTTTACCTACTGAGATATCCCTGCTGCATGTCCTGCTAGAAGGAGGCCCCGGGGCAGTCCCAGGACACACTGGAGGATAATATCTTTAGACTGGCCTGGGAATGGCTGGAATTAAAAGTTTAAGTTCTGCTTAGGCTGCTGCTCCTCTGCGACTCAGCACCTGCCCCTTTCTGATGGATGCCCCATTGAGGCAATTTTGTGTGTGTGTGTGTGTGTGTGTGTGTGTGTGTGTGTGTGTGTGTGTGTGTGTGTGTGTGTGTTTTAATTACAATTTTGCTAAAAAAAAAAGAATCTGGCTTGCATCAGTCACATGATGACCATTAACCAATGCCCACTCATGACAGCAGAGCGAGCTTTCAAAGAGAATGGGCGTTCTGGAGAAATAGAGGAAAATGCACATTAATTGGGAGACACTGACTGATGCAAAGAAAACCAGGGTGTACAGTGTACACTGTAGTCTATAGCACCCAGGAGTGTTAGGTTATTATGCACAAGATGGTAAGCTGTCTTCTGGCAACTGTTGAATTGAAACAAACGAGCGTGCTGTGTGTGCAACAGCATGAAAAACATTACTAAGGATACAACGATACCAATTTTTTCAAACCGATACGATACCGATACTTGGATCTGAGTACTTGCCGATACTGAGTACAAAAACCGATACTTCTACCACACACACACACACACGCAAATGCAATGAATTGGAAGACAGGTTTTATTTTATTCTTAAAATAAAATCTTAATAAAAATGACCACAAAAAATTTCAAGTGAAAAATAAGCACTTCTGTTAAATTATTGCGGAGTGTCCACATTGTAATTTAACAAAATATCACTGAACTATTGGCACTGTCTCGAGCTTTCAGAATAATAAATAAACACTTCTGTTTGGAATAAAATAAACTTTTAAATTGTTGCAGAGTGTCCATATTGTAAACGAACAAACAAAATAACGAAAGTATTTGGCATTGACGAACAAACTCCTCATCTGCCCGTGGATCATCAGTCCACTGTGCCGTTAAACTGAGGACTGACATCGCGCACACACTGCTGTCTTTACCTCTTCAGAAAGTTTTGGCACCATTATCTCCCTGATGTATGGGCGGCTGGGAATTTCATATCGCGGCTCAAGTATGCTGAGAAGACGGTTCAATCCTATGTTTTCCACGACCAGCATTGGCTGGTCATCCAGAGCGATAAAATGAGTCAGAGTCTCTGTTATTTTAACTGCCTGTGGATTTTCTCTTGACATTTTTCGTTGCTTTTCCAAAACCTGAGTTAAAGTTGGCTGTTCCTGTCCACACTGCTGACATTTTGTTTAGCCTAGCTACAGCAGCCTCCAGTTTTTTTTTTATCTGGAGCCGCCAGTCTCACTCGCCTAACCCTGTGCCTGTTTAGCGCTGGATGTCCCCCTAGTGGCCAATCTAAAAAACTACAACAGAAATGACATGCCACCCTCTGACTAAAGAAATAAGTTTGTATCGGTTCATGGTATCGGTTAACTTTTACGAGTATGAGTACACACACATTTTACAGTATTGGCCCCGATACCCGATGCCAGTATCGGTATCGGTGCATCCCTAAACATTACCTGTCCTTTTATTAACTGTTCAAGTAGTGCTGGTCATAGCTGCTAGCTACCTGGGTAAGGGTGTCATGGGTCTGTAGCTCTGTCCACCAATACACCCTGTATTTGTCATGATAAACTGATCAGCTGGCAGATTAGAACACAGTATGCAGGACTGAAACTCAAAGAGGAGCTGTATTGTTGGAGCTCACAGAAAATTTAAAATAAAGCTGGAATTAAAGTGAAAACACAGGAGCGCACAGCATGTAAAAATGAGGGAGAACATGATAGAGAACAGAGAGACTAAGACAGTGGCTCTACATGCAGGGTTATGAGGAAATGGTAAGCAGCTGGGAATACAACTGACAAAGGACACAAAACTAAACAGTACACAAGGAATAAAGACAAAACAAAACAGGAAACATCACAAACCGTTAGAGACTGAGACTGAACTTGACGCAGACAAAAAGGAAACAACCATCGAGACATGACTGACTGGAAGACAAGACTAACTACTGAGACAGGGCAGAGACAGACACGAGGACACAACTGGGGGAATCACAAAAGGGAACAAAGAAATCTATAACAAACAAAATCAGATAATGAACTCACAATTCAACTCCAAATTCAAATTCTGGTCAAAGATCCAGAACCATGACTGCATGGACTAAACATGACAGGAGAATGCCTGAACCTGTGTAGAAACTGTGAAAATGTTTGGGGTGATCCATGTTCACATGTTTCCAACTGGACTGTGTCACAGTGTCATGTTAATAATATTTTGCAGGGCGATGGCAGGACAGAGGCAGGGCTGCTGGAGTTTGAAGCTCCTGGTCATCCTCAGCCTCCTCAGCCTCACTGAAGAGTTCGGTAAGAGACTACAGCACTACAGATGACCACACATGTGCAGACAAACACACACTCATATCGCATACACAACTTTCTCTCTGGTGTGCAATGTTACCAAGTGCAGTTTTTCCTAATATTTTTTTTCTTTTCTGCCTGTCCCGTTTGGCTCTTTTGCATCAGAATTATTGTCTAAAGGCGAAGAAAGATGCCCAATGGATTTACTTTACCAAATGGACCATCCGGGCCTTGCCCTATTGGTCTATTTGATTCACCTTTTATTGTTTATTTTATTTTACTTTAACCTGCTAAATACAGGACAGACTTGACTGGGGAAAAGAAAGGGGAGAAAGTAAAACAGCGGGGAAGAGGAACGGTGATAAAGGGCAAAAAAAACAAAAACCAACAAAAAAACCAGACAAAAAATGCATATATCAATCACCTGGATCACCTGTTGAGAAAGAAAAAAGAGAAAACCAGCAAAAAAACAGAGCAACATCATGGCGATGATCTATGTGAATATAACAGTAAATACTAAATATTAAATATTATTGTGCAGCACGTAAGATCGACAGTTTTTCCTACTATAACAGAGCGTTTTATTCTTTTTCGTATAGTACTTTATTCTGTTGTATATTTTATTCATGTTGTTTAGTTTGTTATAATATTTATGTTGTATTGTGTTTTTCTTAACAACAATGAAATTTTGTATTTTAAAACAAACTGGGAGCCAGTGAACAGAGGCAAGCACCAGGGAGATATGTTCGTGTCTCTTTGCACGTGTCAGGAGACGAGCTGCAGCATTCTGGACCAGCTGGAGCCGTGCTAGACACGACTGGCTGACACCTACATATAAAGAGTTGCAGTAGCCCAGTCGAGATAGGATAAAAGTGTGGATTGCCCGTTCTAGGTTTTTAAAAGATAGTGCATCTTAGGGGCATACAAATCCAGTGTAGAAGTGGTTCTCGGCCAGAATCAGGACTTAGTTCCCCATCCCTAACAAATTGCTGAGCTTTAAACTGTGTTTCAATGCTTTCAGAGGTGAGAGATGATGAGTGGGAGGAACTCGGCTCTGACATCGCTGCACTGCATCAACTCCAAGGACTGTCTGAACATATGTTTGATGAAAAGCTTATGAACTCCTCAACAACCAGGTATCTTATGGCTATTAACAGCTGTTACTACATTAAAACCCCTGTGGGTATCATAGACATTGGTTATTAGAAGCACTGTGTGGCTCTTTCAGTGCGAGTGTCATAGAAGCATTTAAATAAGCCTTGTCACATGTGGAAAAAAAAATAATATTTAATATCAGGGGGCAAAGGTTACTGAAAACATGAGCTATCTTGGCTGTCTCCTAGTGGAGATCTTTTTTTCTGCTCCAACACAGACAAAGCAGCATGCACTGGTATCTGTTATATAAAATAACCAGTCTGGTGTGTTCATGGCCTCATCACTCAGTAGGAAACTAATTGAGAAAATGTTTTAGGGAATATAGTTTGCTGGAGATGCAATATAGCGCAGTGTGCCAGAGACAGGAGTTGAATTCAAAAACAGCTTTAATGCCAAAGTCTTTTTGAAAAAACAGAGGTGGATGCAGGAATAACACACAACAACCTGACGTCTAGTGAAACCACAGAATAAGGGTGGAAATGACAAAGGACAGGAGTTAGACTCTGACAATAAATACACAGCATGTAAGGAGGGGAGAGGAAACAGGTGGGAACGAATCAGACAAGATGAGACAAGGAAGTAGAACTAGAGAAAGACCCAATGCCCATGACGAAGAATGCACCTAAAAATTTGAGACTTAACTTTGACATTTACTACTTGCAACCACAGCACACTGCAACTTTTTCAAAAGTAAAAAAGTAATCCATAACAAAAAGTATAATGCAGAATGTGTTTCATTTAGGGGAAATGGCTACCACCTGTCAAGATTTGGAAGATCTGTAAAAAGGTAAAGAGGCTTTCAGTCATTTACATTTTTTAAATGGTGTTTAGCGTGTTTAAAATTGCTGTCTCAGACCTGGATATTTCATGTCCTTTGCAAGTATTTGTAAAATAATTTGGACAGTGCTTCACAATACACTGGATTTTTTTTTTTGTTGAAATACTTGGTTATTAATGAGCCAAAAAGTCCATTAGGGGTCATCACAGCAGCTCATCTGCATCCTTTTCATACTGCGTCCATATTTTCCTTTGTGACACCAACCCTCTGCATGTCCTCCTTCACCACATCCATGAAGCTTCTCTGAGCTTCTCCTCTTTCCATCTTCACATCCTTAGGCCAGTATATCCACTCTCCCTCTGCATGTGTGCAAACCATCTCAGCCTCAGACTTAACTTTGTCTCTAGACTGCTCAACATGAGCTGTCCCTCTGATCTACTCATTTCTCATTTCCCTCTGGGGGAGGGGTGGGGGTGGGGGGTATGCCCAACTGCGCTTTGTTGACTGTTTCAGACTTTAAGACGCCGTGTATCTCAAGAAATGGGGAGATGAACTGCTTTTTGTCTGTTTTTGAGGGTGGGGGAAGAGGCACAAGGGTTGATATAAGCCAGCGAACTCCTTCCTTGAGCCTGACACCCCGCCTATATTCTTCTAACGGCGTTACTTTTTTCAGTAATGAGTAATCTAACTAATTACTATTCCTATCGTTACAACGCCGTTACAGTTACTAACAAGAAAATGCAGTCGTGTTACTGTTTTTCAACAAACAGACAGTTGAAGCTGTGTTCAGCTCGCCGCATCTTATATCAGCTGTGCGCGCTCCCGCGGCGGCAATCACTTTCTGCCTGACGATCACTTTTTGGCACAACACCTGGAGCTAAGGGGGCAAAACAATCGCATGAGTGCTGCTGAACAAGCTAGCGAGCTAACTTCCTGCTAACTTCTAACTCCGTTAAATGTCATAAATTCCGTTTTCATGGATGCCTGGATGTTAAACTCAATTGTTACACCTGGTAGAGCAGAACGCTGATCATTTTATTAAAGATGAAAGACTTTAGACAGTTTTTCAACTCTCAGTAATGCCACAGTGATCGTTTGATATATGTGTAACGGGTGTATTAAAAAATAATTTATATTTCACCAAAGGTCCATCCTGCAGTGTTATCTCGCTTTGTCAGTATTGGTTATGTATATGTATTTATTTATATATGTTTATTTTCTGTATTTATATTTTGGGAGCTTTTATTTTGTTTATGTGACCTTTGACTTCCCACGAAGTCACTTCCTGTAGCTGCGCGCTATTTTCCTCAGTCGCCGAGAGGCCCCGCTGAGGAGAGGTGAGCATACGCTAGTGTTCTCAGTTACAGAGCGAATAAACACAGTTAAAGTAACTAAAATTCTGGGAGAATAAATCCACCCAGCTGGCAAAGTGAGAGCTGACTCCTCTGGTCATTCGCACAACACAACGCAGAGAACTAATGGCAATAAGAGTTTAAGGCCAGACCGGCTACAGTGGTGCCGTGACCCGGATCCACACCACTTCAGACTTGCTCATCGTGGTTCGTGGAGACGCGATCAACATCAGTTTGGTCACCAGAGGTTGCTGTAATGGACAATTTAATGTAAGCTCTGAACACAAATCCCAAGCGTTCGAGGAAACACTTGCACCTTTTTTTTTGGACTGTTGTTTACAAGGTAAATTTAATTCTGCTGTTTGCATTGTGCATATGTTATAACAATGGATGATGAAAAAGTTTCAAGTGACGGGTTCAGCTTTGCCATGGGAAGAGGGAGGGTAATTGAGGGGTTGCCTAGTACACCTGTTCGTAGTGCAGGCTCCCCAGCTTTCTGTTCCACTCGCATACTTGGTTGCACATCTTCCAGTAGTGGTAAAGGTAACTCATTCTCAGACCCTTCAGCCACAGCAGACCCAGCATTAAATGACCTGATAACACATATAGCTCAACAGGTGGGGCAGACCATTAGGGATCAGTTGAAAAAGGAATGTGGGGAAAGGGATGACGGGGCCGCACAAGCTCAGAGCAGTGTAAGCCAGCCACCCAGCGAGCCCACTTACCTTAACCTGACTGGGGCAAAGCTAGTCCTGCAGTCAGATGTGAGAGAGCCTCCAGTCTTCAGAGGAGATGGGTCGGATAAACATACAGTCTGTGAGTGGGAGGAGCTGATGAGAATGTATGTCAAGAAGCGAGCAACACCCCTTCAGGAACAGTACCAAGAAACAATGTTCAAGTTGATGGGCAAAGCTAAGGACATTGTAAGAATAACCCTGAGAAGCACCCCATCGTGAAAACCTTGTGAGAATCCAAATGTTATATATGACATACTGAGGCAACATTTCAGTGACATGACATATTCGTGTATGCCTATGGCCGATTTCTACAGCACAGTTCCAGTGCCAGGAGAAACTCCTGTAGAATATTGGGTCAGACTGAATAAGGCAGTTGATGCAGCAGAGGAAAGCCTGAAGAGACTCGGACGGCACATGGAGGATCCCTGCCAGGAGGCAGCCATGATGTTTGTGAAGTACTGCCCTGATCCCACCCTTGCTGCTGTTTTCAAGTTCAAGGCATCAGATAAGTGGACAGCCAGTGAGATTCAGGAGCAGGTGAATCGGTACCAGCTTGAGATGAAAGAGCGTATGCTCCCCAGGTCTAAGTGTCTCACACCAGTTAAAGCTAACATCCAGACCCCTGCAGCTGATGGTCTAGCGACATCAATGCACCCGGGAGAAACACAGGTGCAGGCGGGATCAAATGAGACAGTAAAGTCCCCTTGTAATGACAGTTGCCTGAAATTACTAATCAGCCTTTTTGACCATGCTTTATCGCAGAATAACCAGGTTGCAGACAAACAGCTTCCTCCAGGTCAGACCCGACCCAGATGTTGTAGAGTATGCCAGTCCCCTGAACATTCTACCCTTGTGCATTGTAGGCAGAAACACCTATGCCTTGCATGCTTTGAGCCAAACCATATTAAGAGAAACTGCCCTCGTCGCTCACCGATTCAAAGGCGCCCTGCCTCCCAACCTAATGACACCCAGCCTTTAAACTAGCTGGCCCGCATTTGGTGAGGGGATGTGTGGGCACAGATGTTGAAACCCTCGGCAGTGATGACGTTGAAAAGCATTACATTAAAGCATGTGCAGCTGCACCAGATGGTGTTAAGGTGGTAGTACAAAACACACAGAGAGTTGGCCCGTTTGACAAACTGTTTTACACTCCTGTCAGCATTAATAACAGACACCACATGCAGGGTATGCTTGACTCTGGTTCCATGGCGTGCACACTCAGTGAGCAAGCAGAACAGAGTATGCTGAGTGAGAATACACTGCCAGAACCCACTCCCCTGCCTCAAGAAATAGTGCTAGTAGGCTGTGGTGGCACACTTACCAAGCCCAAATGCATGTATGAAGTTGAAATGAAACTGTATGTAGAGACCTGTATTGTTCCCATCCTTGTAGTGCCAGGTCAACGTGATGATATAATCATTGGCACAAATGTCATCCGGTTTCTCATGCACCAGTTGAAAATAACCAATGACTATTGGCGCCTCGTGTCAGGTGGCGGTTGTCCCCCAGAGTGTGAGCAGTTTCTTGACCTCATGGCTAATTCATCCCGAGGGAGAGGTGAAGAACTCCCAGACAAGATTGGCACAGTCAAGCTTCAGCAGTCAGTCACCTTGTTAGCAAGACAAGAGCATCTAGTCTGGGGCAAGCTGCCGAGTAATGTTTCTATGTCACCAGGGAGCACAGTGATTGTTGAAGCCACTTCATCAAAGTCCATGCCACGTAACATCATGGTTGGCCGCATCATAACGCCATTGTGGGGTGATAGGTGGGTTCCCATGAAGGTCACTAACCTGTTGGATAAACCAGTCACCCTGAAAAGAAACAGTAAGTTGGCTGACGTGTCCCCTTGTGTTGCTGTTGAGGATTTTGAAGTTTTCCAGGGCACCTGTCGACCCCAGAAATCTGTGCAGGAGGAAGAGAAGGATGATGCCCACCTCACTGATCTTAAACAGAGACTAAAACAGGTTGGGCTCAGCGAAATTGATATTGACCTGTGCCATGTTGGTCAAGGGGGGAAGGAGAAATTGGTTAAAATGCTTGAGAAGTACAATGACATTTTCTCCAAGCATGCACATGACTGTGGCAAGGCCGAAGGCTTTGTACACCGCATCAGGCTCACTGATGAGAGGCCATTCCGCCTTCCTTACCGCCGAGTCCCTCCCGCACATTATCAAAAGCTGCGACAAGTTTTGTCTGAAATGGAAGAACAGGAAATCATGCAAGTAAGACCCTGAGCAATTCACAGAAAAAGTACCCAGCCCACAGGCTAGAGTTTTTGGCATTGAAATGGAGTGTGTGTGAGAAGTTCAGTCACTGGCTAAGAGGTCATCCCTTTACAGTGTGGACAGATAACAACCCTCTCACCTACATCATGACAAAACCAAGGCTTGATGCTTGTGAGCAGCATTGGGTGTCCAAGCTTGCTCCTTACACATTTGATCTGAAGCACATACCTGGTACCAAGAATGTCGTAGCTGATGCTCTCAGCAGAGACCCCTTTGCAACAACAGTCAGCCATAGGCTGATCACAGAGCAGTACAGTCACCTCCTTGCTGAAGCTGAGAGTGTCAGTTCTGAGGGAATACAAAATGCATTCCGGTTGAAGGTCCAAGGTCAACGCGTGGACACACCACCTTTCCGCACCACAGGACTGCAGACGCCCTCGTCTCAGCCTGGGTGTGATGTTAAGGCAATCCTGGATTTTCACAGTGAGTGGGATCTGGCTGCTGAAACAAGGGCTGTGGAACTGTTCCAGTCTGTTCAGGACCTAGTGTGGCCAGGACAGGAGTCATTTCCTGTGTCCACACTAGAGGAACTCCAGCATAGCCAGGAACTTGATCCCAGTATTTCAAAGATCTTACCATTTGTCACAAGGAGAAGGCGACCTTCCAGGCGTGAAAGGGCAGGATTTGATGTGAAAGCCATGGTGTTCTTTAAACAGTGGGAAAGGCTTAGGATCCAAAATGGAGTTCTCTATCGGATCACAAAGGAGCCCCTGAGTAAACAAAGGAGACATCAGTTTGTTTTGCCTGACAGTCTCAGAGCAAAGGCACTGAATGGTGTCCATGATATTGCAGGACATCAGGGGCAAGCGAACACTTTATATCTGGCAAGACAACGGTTCTTTTGGCCGAAGATGGAGTCTGATATAAAAGAGTATGTCAAATGCTGTCAAAGATGCATCCTGGCCAAAACACCAGAACCCTCTGCTCGAGCCCCACTTGAGAGCATCAGAACCTCCGCCCCTATGGAGCTGGTGTGTTTGGATTTTTGGAGTGCGGAGGCAAGCAACGCTCAGTAGATGTTCTTGTCCTTACAGATCATTTCACTAAGCTAGCCCATGCCTTCCCTTGCACAAACCAGACTGCAAAGCAGGTGGCTAAGAAACTATGGGACCATGTTTTCTGTGTGTATGGGTTTCCTGAGCGGATTCACTCCGATCAGGGGGCAAATTTTGAAAGTGAGCTCTTGGCAGAACTGCTCAAATTCTCAGGGGTCTCCAAATCCCATACTACGGCATACCATCCCATGGGCAATGGAGGGACTGAGAGGTTCAATAGGACACTTGGCAACATGCTTAGGTCCTTGCCCCTCAGAGTAAAGAACAAGTGGCCTCAACAAATACAAAGTCTGACATTTGCATATAATGCAACTGTACATGAGACCACAGGTTTTGCCCCATTTCAGCTCATGTTTGGCCGCATCCCGAGGCTCCCCGTTGATGTGATGTTTAAACAGGTGCTCTGTGATCCTGTAGTTGTGGATCAAAAAAATTATGTGAAAACACTCATGTCACATCTTCATGAGGCAGCTAAGATTGCCCAGACTCATGCCATCAAGGAACAAGACAAACAGGCAAAAGGATATAACAGAACAGTAAAGGGCACTCATCTGAACATAGGAGACAGAGTACTCATTGCCAATAAGGGTGAAAGAGGAAAGAAGAAACTTGCTGACAAGTGGGATGCAACAGTGTACACAGTCAGAGACAGAAATCTGCAGACTCACACATACAAGTTGGAAGATGACAGAGGCAACATAAAGGTGGTACATCGCAACCTGGTTTTAAATATCAGCTTCCTGCCAGTAGTGACTACTGAACTGTGTGACACTGGATCAGAGGGAGGGTCATGTGCGTCAGACCAGTTAGATTCCTTGGATGAGGAGACTGCAGAGGACAGGACCAGTGCTTGGATCAACTCAGATGATGATGAGAGTCAGGAGATCCTGAGTGAGGGACTCTCAGGATTGGGCAAGACAAGTCAACAAGCTCCAGAGGTGGTTGCAGGGGATTCAACCCAGTGTTCCCTGGTAGGAGAGGACTGCCCAGACAGAGACACAGACTTGGACAGTTTGGTAGCAGAACCTGACTTGGACCTCCCGTCTGTGTTAGACACACTTTCAGAAACTGCACTCACTCACTCACATCCATCAGACACAGATCGTGATGCACACACCAAGCCCCTATCAGTAGTCCCTGTGCATGTCGCCGACACGCAGATGCCTCCAACGGATGTATGTCATGATGTGGGTCCACAAGGACAGCCACGGGCAGGCCCGGACAATGTTGTCATGACGCGAGCTGGCCGAGTTAGTAAAAGAGTTAATCGACTCATTGAGTCCATGGTTCAAAAGCCTTTTGGCTTTAAGCGTTTGGCAAATTCAGTTAGCAGAAGGTCTCAGTCTCTTCTTACGCTGTTTTAAGTAAACCCAGGTGTTTAGAGATCTTTCTGTATTTTGATTCTACGGGACAGTATCCTTATGGCACAATTAAATACATAGTGTGTTTTTAAGGTATTGATGTGTGTGGATGGCTGGGAATGTGTGTGGTGTAAATGGCATCACACTGATCTAAGAAAGGCTGAGGCCTGATCACCCTCATGCTCTTTCTGAACCTATCTGGTAGGTGGCTTATACAGCTGATACTAGAGCTTATAGCTCGGAGGTTTAAACCCGTGCCCAGGAGCCATAAATTCTGTAGATTTGTCCCTGTGTTCCAATTAGATTGTTCACCTGACTGTTCTGGATTTTGGTGAAATCTAGGAGGGGTGGATGTAACGGGTGTATTAAAAAATAATTTATATTTCACCAAAGGTCCATCCTGCAGTGTTATCTCGCTTTGTCAGTATTGGTTATGTATATGTATTTATTTATATATGTTTATTTTCTGTATTTATATTTTGGGAGCTTTTATTTTGTTTGTGTGACCTTTGACTTCCCACGAAGTCACTTCCTGTAGCTGCGCGCTATTTTCCTCAGTCGCCGAGAGGCCCCGCTGAGGAGAGGTGAGCATACGCTAGTGTTCTCAGTTACAGAGCGAATAAACACAGTTAAAGTAACTAAAATTCTGGGAGAATAAATCCACCCAGCTGGCAAAGTGAGAGCTGACTCCTCTGGTCATTCGCACAACACAACGCAGAGAACTAATGGCAATAAGAGTTTAAGGCCAGACCGGCTACATATGGACCTGCAGCGGAGTTTAAGCCCAGACACGGCTAGTGACGTCAGACTTAAAGACCGGATAAGGAGCTGGCTCGCGTTGTTCACTTTAAAGAGTCGGCTCTAAGAGCCGTTTCGTTCGCGACCGACACATCACTACACAACACCTGGAGCTCAGGGGGCAAAACAATGGCATGAGTGCTGCTGTTTGACTGAGGAAGAATAAAGGAGTCGTGGTAAGACAATCACATGACCACTTAAAGACAAAGCAACAAGGTGACATATACCAGGTTTTAAATTGTGTTGATAGGCCAGTAAAACCAGAGTCATGATAAACAAGATATACGCGGCGTTTTTTCCTCAATAGTTTCGTCACGTTTGCTGTCTAAGGACAGCGCAGCGAGCGCTCTCTGCTTATGAGCAAAAAAACCCTGCCCTTTCGTGTTGGTGGAAAAATGCACCATGGCGACCAATCAAAAAATGATATGGCAACATGACATTTGGTTGCTTAGAAAGAGGGGGAAGTTTTAGGAGTGGCGTGCTGTCTTGTGTAGTTAGCGTGTAGTGTTGTGGATAGTTTTGTGTTGTGTGTCAGAACAATGAGGCGACTGCTGTCTCCAGGTAGAAACAGCAGTGACACACCTGCTGCTGTCAGACCTGCAGGTATCAGGCTGTGATGTTGTTTGCAGAACTTGTGCATAGGATTTTAAAACTGACATTTTATATTTGCATTTAAAGTTATGAAATATGATTCAATAAACATGTTTGTGGTTGTTACAGTAAAAAAATATCACTTTTTTCTACTCAGATTTTATGTTTTTTGTCTGATTTAGATCAATTGTGTTAACACAGTTTGTCAAAATGAAAACACGACTGTAAATTCAGACACGTGAGGTTGTGCTGATGAGACCAAACAAGGCAAATAAATAGTTTTTAAAGGTGAAATGTGGAGGAAACATCAGAAATAGTTAAAAATGGCCAATTCTACCCTGGACCCCAGAGGGTTAAACTTTTTTTTTTTAAAGTAACGTAATAGTTACTTTTCAAGTAATTAATTACTTTTAGAATATTGTAACTCAGTAACTAACTCAGTTACTTTTTTGAAGAAGTAACTAGTAGCTATAATTAATTACGTTCTCAAAGTAACTTGCCCAACACTGGTCATTAGTCAGCTGTGTACTCACTGGTCTGCCATTATCATCCTCATCAGTCTGTGTATTTAAGTCCTTAGTTTCCTCCAGTTCATTATGTTGTTGTCGTCGTCCCTGTGCGAGTGTCTTCAGTTCAGCCAGCCAGTCAGTCTTCGTTCATGTTCTCTTCATTCATCCACTATAATCTTCTCTCATCGCTAATCAATGAGTCCTACGTTTGAGTCCTCTTTTCCTTCTCTCCACACCACGAAGCCCTGACAGACACTGTTACTGAACAGTCATGAAAAACTTTAATAATACTGTTTGTTTAAAGAAAACTTTAACATATTTAAACGATGCCATCTCTGTGCGGTTAGTAAATGGTGAAATAAAAATTGTAGGCTTTTACAAGTCAGCAAGTGCAAAAAGGTGTGAGAGAAACCCTGCAGCTCAGCTCTAGAGTATGATTTCGAGGAGCCCATGTAGAACCTTTGAACCTCTGACTGTTGTATAAGATCGAAGAACTGCGATTTTTAAATATATTCTTGCAATTTTTTTTCTTTCACAGGGTTATGAGATCAATGCAGTAATGCTAATATGTTAATTTTCCATTAGGCTGGACACTGAGCCACTAACTTTGCTGGATGGATTTCAGGACTGTGCAAACTTCCCAGCTTGTGTCATTACAAAGGAGAAGGTCAGTAAACATGAGACAAAAAATGACCACATGAACACTTAAACCCCCGCGGAGCCATCATTTTGCGTTTCTACCTTTAAAAGCCAGAGAGCAGTCAAATGCTGGAAGTGGAAGCTAAATTGGCTAGTCATTCATATGTATATTAGGTTGTTACCTAGGAATTCTGGAGGGAGGGGAGTGGGGGAAATAAATCTCCAAAAGTCACCAACTTGGAGTGTTTCAGTTTGCCATCTTAGGGAGAAATCAACACACATGGGTGTATGTCCTTTGTTGCTGAGATTTATTGATGAAAACAGTACAAAAAACCAACCATTTGTACACATATTTACAAATAATAATAAAAAGCGAGTGAGTACATTACAACATTTTCAGCAATCACTCACAATCCTGGCACTGCCATGGTATCTGTAGTCTGCATTTACCACATGTGTATCTGTAGCAGTGAACACATCGCACAGTGGCCTGATTTTTCTTGCATCATGTGGAGGTCCATGAACCAATGAACATGCTCCATTTGCTGTGCATGTTGAATAGTCCATTCTTGAATGCTATGAAGCATGTCAAGAGTGATGAAACACAGGAAGCTCTGAAGGCGACTCGAGATACTTCTCCTGGCCTTAGCCGTTGGCTCTCCATCTGCAGCGTACGCTTCTATTGGGGTGAAAGGGAGACAGGTCCCCACCTGTTCTTCACGCCACACTGTGCCATCTTTCGCTGTCTCAGTCCCCAAACAAGCTCTCTTTTTCGACTCTTGATCACTCTTGACATGCTTCATAGCATTCAAGAATGGACTATTCAACATGCACAGCAAACGGAGCATGTTCATTGGTTCATGGACCTCCACATGATGCAAGAAAAATCAGGCCACTGTGCGATGTGTTCACTGCTACAGATACACATGTGGTAAATGCAGACTACAGATACCATGGCAGTGCCAGGATTGCTTTTTATTATTATTTGTAAATATGTGTACAAATGGTTGGTTTTTTGTACTGTTTTCATCAATAAATCTCAGCAACAAAGGACCTACACCCATGTGTGTTGATTTCTCCCTAAGATGGCAAACTGAAACACTCCAAGTTGGTGACTTTTGGAGATTTATTTCCCCCACTCCCCTCCCTCCAGAATTCCTAGGTAACAACCTAATATACATATGAATGACTAGCCAATTTAGCTTCCACTTCCAGCATTTGACTGCTCTCCGGCTTTTAAAGGTAGAACGGTAGAAGCCTGGAAATCCAAGTTTAATAGATTAAACAGTGCTGAGAAGAAAGACATTGTTTCTAATGACGAACTTCATTAGAACTAAAATAGAACTTGATTAGGCTGATAAAGATAAGCATTTCCTTCCACTCAGTATCTGTATCTTTTTTTTTTCCTAAAACGGCACAAAACATGAATTCATCGTGAATACAACACAACAAAGAAAAAGAGTTCAAATGACAAACACCATTACCAACGGACACAATACAACAGACAGCTCATAGTGGTAGCTGGGTTTGCTACGAGGAGATGTTGAATTTTTGTATTTGTCACACTTAAGTACAGGTCGACATATCAGAGCAGTAATCACTTAGTTATCCGGTTGTTCAGTCTGACATCACTAGCCGTGTCTGAGCCTAAACTCCACTGCAGGTCCATATATCAAACGATCACTGTGGCATTACTGAGAGTTGAAAAACTGTCTAAAGTCTTTCATCTTTAATAAAATGATCAGCGTTCTGCTCTACCAGGTGTAACAATTGAGTTTAACATCCAGGCATCCATGAAAACGGAATTTATGACATTTAACGGAGTTAGAAGTTAGCAGGAAGTTAGCTCGCTAGCTTCTATCTAAATACAATATAGCATGTCCTGACTGCGGGGTTTTGGAAACAAATTCAAACGTACAGCTCTGTTATCACTTCCAGCATAAATGAAGACAGAAAACTAAACAGCAGTGACGTTTGTAGGGTTACTGAAGTTGGGCTAGCTGGTATATAATGATGTGCTACGTGACCGCTAGCGACACAGCTATGTTAGCATAATATAAACAAGCTAACTTTTTTTCCACTCGATAAAAGTTAACGTGAGTGTTCTCGGTGGTCAGGAACAAATGTAATCGCATGGCAGGATGCTGTAAAAGGACCAAACTTCAGCCAGGAGAACAACTGAGATAATCCATCCATAATACGAGGTTAGTCATTCATATACTGCTGCATGGGCTGGGCTGTAGCTACATCCTAAGGTTTTAAAAACTGAGCTTAAATAAATGATTAGTGGTAATAAAAGCCGAGGGAGGTCAACAGTGATCACTGACTGTTTTAGGAGCTTTTTGAGATTAAATAGAAGAAAATACAAAACATTAAACATGTTAACAACACAAAAGCCATATTAAACGCAGACTACTTTAGGCCCGGAAGTAGGATTCGTCGTGTCATCACTGAACAACCGGATTACACAATGTTGTACTACTTGCTGTATGCACTTGTTGGTTGTAAGCTTAATGTGATGCTCAGCCACATCTTTCAGCTGTCTGTGAATTTGGGATTATAAAGAATTCATAGTTTTGCATTAAAATGTCACACTTCACAGAACATTTTTACCCATCGAGACCCTCAAAGCGCTTTACAATTCCACTATTCATTCACTCTCACATTCACACACTGGTGGAAGCTACAATTGTAGCCACAGCTGCCCTGGGCCAGACAGACAGAAGCTAGGCTGCCAGTTCGCGCCATCGGCCCCTCTGGTCAACACCAGCAGGCGGTAGGTGAAGTGTCTTGCCCAAGGACACAACGACCAAAACAGACAGAGAAGGGGAATGAACCGGTAAACTTCCGGTTACAAGACAAACTTCCCAACCCCCTGAGCCACGGTTGCCCATGGGAAGCAGTGTTTTTCAAGCTTAGGCAGCGGTGTTTTGCATTTCTAATACCAGCCCTATACTCACTATGAAAGGCAACTTGCTTCCTCTCCACACTGGAACACTAACAACTCTCAATGTATATTTTTATGGCCAGCAGAGATGGGCAGTAACGCGTAACGCGTTACTGTAATCCGATTACTTTTTTCAAGTAACGAGTAAAGTAAGGGATTACTATTGCAAAAATGGTAATTAGATTACCGTTACTTTCCCGTAGGAACGCTGCGTTACTGCGTTACTAAAACCGTAATTTTTTGCGAGAATGTCTCACGACAGTGACGTAAGCGAGTGCGACGTTCGTGACAACAGCTGTGTGCAGATCAACAATGGATCATATATCGAGTGCAGAGAGAGTATGAGCGTGCAGCGTTTAAAGCGTGGAAGTACTGACCTTACTTTGAGTTTGATTCCATAAAAAGGGACAAAAACATTAGTGTCCGCTGTGCGTGGGAAGAAAACTTCTTTTTACAGCGAAAAAACCCCTAAACTTCCAGCAAGCACCGAGTAGCTACGACGTAATGGGAAACTCACAGAGAAACTCGCGGATTCTTCCACTGACCGCGGCACACCTGCACCAGGGTAAACCTCCGCCTACCCCACTCCTGCTTTACAGGTGAAAATAGAGCAACAGGACCGCTGAGTCTTTGACTTTATTTATTTTCTGCTGTGTTTTACTTGCATCTATTTGAAAGACTGAGTGTAAACACAAAAAATATTTTATTTTATTTTATGTGCTGGAATGTGCAGAAAATAGGTTTAAATGTTAAACTAATTTCTTCCAGTCAGAGAATGTTGCAGATAATTAAATTTTTGCTTGATGCATAAAGTTAAAAGATTAAAACTAATAAAACAAGTTTTAAAAAGAGACTTTTCCATTTGATTACATTTTGTATGATGGATTATGCAGAAAAAGTAGAATTGGGCTGAAAGATCTATCGCTTTATCACCTACTCAGGTTGGAAATCGTGTTTTTAAAAAGTAACTAAGTAACTAATTACTTTTGAAAATAAGTAATCAGTAAAGTAACGGGATTACTTTTGGGGGGAAGTAATCAGTAATTAGTTACTGATTACTTTTTTCAAGTAACTTGACCAACACTGATGGCCAGCAGCCTTAATTAGCTCCCATCAAAATGGATGCAAGTGCAACACAACTATAATTTACTACGTCTCACCAAATGCCTGTTACTTCCTCTCAAGTCCTGCCATCAAATCAAATCCCTCTTATTGTCACATCACATGTGCAGGTACACTGGTACAGTACATGCGAGTGAAATTCTTGTGTGCCAGCTTCACAAGCAACAGAGGTGTGCAAAAATAAACCACAAGAACAAGCAAAATATAAGAATGGCTAAATGGCTAAATCTGAGAGTTTGCATCTGGCTCTGCATTAGATTCACCTGATGTCCATCAGTCAGGGTTCATTGCAATCACTTTATAATATTATGTGCACATAAGAAACTCAGTGCAGGTATTACAATAAAAACACAAAACCTTTCGAAAGCAGTCGTGTAAACATCCCTAGTCTCAGTAAACGCATCATCAGGAAAGCTAGGATTACAAATTTAACCCAACTAACAAACACGAAGAATATTTCCTCCATATTTTTGTATCATTTGTAGTTAGCTTTTCAAATTCAGAAAATAATTTCAGTTAGTTCTTAGTTTAGTTTTAATTCACTATAATTAGCCTGGTATGCAGGTCACTTATGTTACCTGTTGCTGGTCTTCACTGATGACAGCTGATCAGGCCCCTTCTTTTCATTATCTACCTTCTTCCCCTTGGACACATTTTTCATAAATACAATATTCAGTTTCACTGTTATGCTGATGACACCCGGCTTTATCTGTCCACTAAACCTGCTCTCTCCCCGGACCTCCCTCACCCTCTGTTTAGACGAACTCAGAGCTTCTCCTGTTCAGCACTGAACCAACACTATCCAGAACTAATAGCTTCTACTACAATCAATAACTCGCCACTCTCCATTTCCCCATGTGTGAAAAGTCTGGGTGTTATCTTTTAACTCCCACATCATTAACATCCCTCGGTCTGCATATTTCCAACTCTGTAACATTAATCATCTCCGTGCTTTTCTCTCCCCACATGCCGCTGCTAGTCTTGTTCATAGCCTGGTCACTTCCTGGATCGATTACTGCAACTCTCTTCTTTTTGGTCGTAGTCAAAAATCTATCCATCAGCTTCAACGTGTCCAGAACTCTGCTGCTCGTATTATCACCAGGACCCCTTCTATGCACCACATCACCCCTGCTCTGCAGCTTGACTGGCTTCCGGTTAAATACCGCATCAATTTCAAGATACTTTTGTGCACATTCAAGGCTACCCATCATCTCTCACCTTCATACCTCTCTGAACTGGTTCACATTACCATTCCTGCTCGGTGTCTCAGATCCTCCTCCTCTCTTTCTCTTTCCATCCCTTCCCCCCGGCTAGCCACCGTGGGGCGCTGGGCTTTCTGCTGCTCTGCCCCCCGTCTTTGGAACTCCCTTCCTCCTGAGATACGAAACATCACTTCCCAGACTCAAAACTCACCTGTTCACATTAGCCTATTCCACATAAGTTTTTCCATACTGCTACTTTAATTTAGTTTATCTATTTGCTCTGTTTTATCCTTATTATTTTCTAAATTATGTTTGTTGCTGTTATTGCTTGTGTACACACTTGAGTGTTTTGAAAGGCGCTTTCTTAAACAAAATGTATTATTATTAGTAGTAGTAGTAGTATTAAATAATGTGAGTGTCTGGCTCAAACTGTAGGTTTACATAAACAAAACAGATTGTTAAGATTATATCTAGAGATCCAAAAAAAGTTCACAAATTTCATCCTATAGAAATTAACTGAGACCAAAACAGTTATCCTGGAGCTCTCTCTCATTTCAGTCTTTGCTTCATTTTTCAGGACTTTAATGCCTTCTTGGCACATATCGACAAACAGAAGGTACAAGACTGGCTGCTGGGTGCTTCAGAGATCTCCCACAGCTACAGCCAAAAACTTCTGATCATGACCGACAGAGAAAAATCCACCAGTGACAGAGTCCAGCAGGAATACAGCAAGGATCCTCATTACTCCGTGAAAGTCACCAAGGACTGCCTGTTCAACGACACCTGTGTACCAGCAGCAGACAGATACACTGTAGTGAAAATATTTGGAAGTGTTTCAGAAGATGGACAAACTGTGTCTGGACTTGATGGATCTTCACTTGCAAAGCTGATGTTGAAACCATCTCTGGAAGCGGCTCCAGTTTTCTCTCTCGATGGAAACACAACCACACAGTTCCACCAGAACTTCATTCGGGTTTTTATGCTCCGCGGCCTCCAAACAGTCTTAGAAACCAACCAGAACAATCAGCAGATTTACCAGGTGATGGATCGACCTGACTCAGTTTCCAGCTACAAAATCCCACAAAGACCAGCTGATCACACCACACAGTATGACCACCAGCAGATCATAATGATGGAAAATGATCCTGTGGTCAGAAGAGCTGCTGAATATTTGTATGACAAACATCCAGCAGTTAGTTCTGTCTATGTTCTTGATGAAAACCAAAGACCCAAACTGATCCACGGTGGACCAGTGTCTCTGTCAGAGGACAGCAGACTGGTGCTGGTAGGTCATGGTAAAAGAGACAACGCAAGAGAAATGAGACTGTCAGGATACAGTTCAGGAGATGTGGCAAAAATCATTGAAAGGACAAACAGAGGCAGCGATAAAATTAAAACAACGAGTGTGGTGGCCTGTGAGGTCGGATCAGACCAACGATTCATAGAAACTCTGCTGAGGGACCTCCATAAAAAGAACATCAAGACAGAGCTTCATGTGAGGGACGCTCTCGTCCAAGTCACACACACAGGAAGGAAAATCACTCAGGAAATCTCTCCAGAGGGGCTGCAATGGAGACATAAAGACAACAGCAAGAAAATGGTAGCAACCCTTGATAGAAACGGAGATGTAATAATGAGAAATGAGCCTGGAAGTAAAGGAGAGGCTGTTTTTACCAATGAAAGAAACTTTCTGGGTGGAGCAAAAAACAGGAGAAACAAAAAACCAGAACAAAATTTTATAAGAGAAGACAGCTGGCCAGATGAACCGAAGAGATTTGTTAACCCAGAAGTTTTCCCGAACATTGACCAAAATAAAGTTAACGAGATGAAATCTGCCATTGATGAACTCGAGGCTCTGTCTTGGGGAATCTTTCACTCAGATCAACCAGCACCAAAGAAAATCAGTGTCAACAACCAACAAATAGAAGAATATGTAATAGGAAAAAGAAGACAAAGGACTGTAAACGGGAGAACTGAAAATTATATAGACTGGCTAAATAATTATGGTGAAAAAATACAAGTCCTTAATGAATGTTATCAGATTAATTCAGGGAAAGACATTAAAAATATAATTCATCACTTTGCAAAGAATGGAGAAACAAGGACAACATACCTGAAGATCAATAAGTGGATATATGAAGTTGAGCATAAAAAACTGTACGTGTTCCTGGTTGGAAAATGGCTTGACAACAATCAAAGAGACGCAAACGTAATTGATGAGATTAAGAGATGTATTAATGCACAGGTGGGCAGAGAAAGTTACACACACATGAGAAACAACATTTTAACAAACAATAGAAATAGCCAAAACCAACAAAAACAAATCTATGCTAAATATGTGGGAAATATTTTTCGTGGAGAGCACGCACATGTCAACCAAGGACTATCCACTGAGGCCTGGTTCACAACATATTTCACTGCATCAGTTATAAGTGAATCTGTGAGAAATTTCCGAACATTCCCTCTGACACTTATGGCCTTGGATATGGCTTTAAATCAATATGACTCAGCTGGCCTGGATTTCTTCTTTGACAATCACCCAATGGCAAGAGGAGGAAGCTGGGTTGACCCAGAAAAACGGGGATTCACTAACTCAAGAGAAGAGTTCTTAAAATTGGAATATGACCTGTTTGATAAGTGGAATAAAAATGGTAATGTAGATGAATGGATTGATATGATAGCAACTGATTACAAAATATTTACAGAAAACGCAAACACAAAAGATTTATTTTTAGCTGATTACAAGAATTACAAAGAAAATTTTGAGCAATCTCCCAGCATCGTAGAAACATCTGGAGATATTATGAAACCTTCCACATCTGGAACACTGGGAGGATACGATGATGGCTACGTCACAATGCGTGACTTGAATTCAGCCTCAGAATTCGAGAATACCTTCAAACATGAATCCTATTTCTCTAGAACATCTGCATCGTTAACTGAAGAGGTCCATGCTGCACTAATGGCAAGATATGGTAAAAATCTGGCAAGAATGCGTCTTCAGGAGGGATCGGCCCGAATGGAAAACGGACAGTTTGTATGTGAGCTCGTGTCAGAGAGAGCTGGTGCTGAGCCCGAGGAGTTCAGGGTCGATTTATCTCCACAGAGTCAACATTACAGTGAAAAGATGTGGAAGAACATTGAGACATCAGTGCATGAGATGGAGCAGCACAGTTCAGCAGCCTCCCATCAGGTCAACAAACATGTAGAGAGGACTGGAACTGCTGTTGGAGCTTTGGGCCTGATGCTGGGACTGAAAGGAGCTGCTCGTGCCTTTGAAGAGGGAAACATCAAAGATGGTGTGACGGGGTCTTTGCAGACGGCTCATGGAGTGACGGCTATGACAACATCTGCTATTGCAAGCAAAGCTCTGACTTCAAACACAAGAATCGCAAAAGCTGCAGCAACAATCATGAGGAGCCCTGCAATGAAGCGTGCTATGACAGTTATACCAATAGTGGGAATTGGATTTGGGATCTACAGTGTGGCAGAAGATTTTAGAAGAGGAGATGCTCTGGGATACATTGATGCTGCATTAGATATTACCATGACTGTGTTAGATGTTGTTGAGCTTGCTCAGCCTGAACTGGCACCTTTCATCGCACCTATAAATCTGGCTCTATCAGTAGAGCGGATGGCCATTGATGATGTTTATATGGGCATCCAGAATGAACTGAAGAGCCTCCCAGCGGACGCTGGAGTTTTGGACAAAATAGCTGCTGTTTTTGTTGGCTTGGGAAAAGGGATCATGCACTTTGCTATACATGTGGCTAGTGTGTTTTATGACTGGCGTTATGCTGAAATTGAGGAGGGACGAAGACTTGTTGCAAAGATCTCAGATTATCACCAATATTATAAAGTCACAAAGCAACAGGATGGAACGACAGCCATTGATTTTGCTGCTGGCGCCTCCTCCTGGAATGGAGGAGGTATTAACTTCTGCCTCGCTGATGAGGGTCAGTCTGAGCTCTGCATGGACTATTTTGTTTCTCGTGATGGGAGTCCAAGAAGACAATGCTGGAGCATTAACACAGATGGAAGCAAAGATATAATTCTTGGTCTGGGAGAGTCACATGGATTAGAGCACGCGACATATGAAAGAAAAATACTCATGTTCATACCAGCTGGATCTGTGACAGTGGTTTCAGGTTATAAAACTCTTACCAATTCAAGGTACGGGACATACAGGGGAAACAGAGACTCTAATCGATTTTTTGCAGTTCAGAAATCACAGGACGAACACATGATTGAAGTCATGTTGAGCTACTATTACAGACTTCATGGGGAACCAGGGGATGACACATTCTTCCTCGGTCCACAGAGAAGTTATGTCGAAGGCTCAGGAGGAAGGGACACCTACATCATTCCTGAGAATGGAGGGAAAACGATCATTAACAACTACGATCCCTCCAGAGCACAAGACAATCTGCATTTCAGTGTCGACTACAGCCACATTTCTGTGTCTAAATCAGGAAACGATGTTGTGCTGACGTATGAGGGCAGTCATACTGTAAGAATACAAAACTGGTTTTTAGGAGAAGATTATCGTCACATGAACATGATGTCAGGAGACGGAGTCTTATTTGAGATTTCCTCCACGGTGGTTTCTTCAGTTCAGCTGGTGGCCAGAGGAATTAACAAGATGTTCGAGGCACGCGGTGCAGTTGTTGATGCATCACAGCCACTTTTACGCACAGTTACAAACATCTTTGGGTCTCAGTATGATGATAAACTCATTGGAAATGGAGAAAGGAACCTGATAGATGGGGGAGGAGGGCGAGATCGTCTGATTGGTGCTGAAGGAGATGACATTTACATGGTGAAAGGCAGAAAACGTTCCTCTGTGCTCATTGAAAATTACTCCAGAGACGAGAAAACTGACCTGGCCATCATAGAAGCAAATCTTCATACGTTTGGAGTCAGGGTAGAATGTGATGATGTTCATCTGGTGGCTCAACATGGCAGCACTCTTCTTCGTGTTACTGTAGTGAACTGGTTCAGGTCATCAGCACACAGACACTTGCTGTTCATCACAAAGGATCTGATCACCTTCACAGTGTCAGATAACAAAGCTGACTGCCTGCAGAGGAACATCTTCACCACATGTATAAAGAGCCTCAGCATTGACTACAGCAGCTCCCTGTCTCCTCTGGAGGTGGACCTTGAGAAGGATGAGGCTTTGGACAGCGTGACAGAGATCCGCGGGTCAAACTATAGTGATGTCATCAAAGGAAACAAAGAACACAACGTTCTTGTCCCTGGATTAGGAGATGATTTCATTGAGGGGAGAGGAGGAGAGGACTGGTACGTTATCACAGCAGGACAAGGAGTGAAAACCATCAACAATCTATCACCAGATCTAACCTTGGACCTGCTCTTCCTTAAAGAACAATATCAGGATATAACATGTAGATGTGAAGGTCAGAGCATCATCGTTCAGGTACAGGGCAGAAGGACTGTTATTTTACAGAACTGGTTTAAATCAAAGAATTATCAGCACCTGCAGATCAAGACCAGTGATGGAGTAACAGCTGGACTGAAGCCCAGCATCAGCAGCTGTGGACAGGATTTAATGCTGCCTTTAACCATCGACTACAGAAACCAGAGATGTGAAACCTGTCTGGGGAAATGGATGAAACTCAGTGACTCAGTGAAAGAAATGTACGGCTCCTCAGGATTTGACGTCATGGTTGGAAACAGCAATGATAATTTACTGGATCCACACACCGGGGGGGCACTGATGATAGGAGGGGAAGGCAAAGACACTTACATAATCAAACATGTGGATGAAAGCATAATCATTGATAACTTTGCAGAAGATCAGAAAACTGACACTGTGCTGGTAGATATGGATTTCCTTGATGGAAGTCAAGTCATACTGTACTCAACAAGAAATAATGTTCATGTTAGAATCATGAAAAAAGAGGAAATATTAAAATTCATTCTTTTCAATTACGGTAATGATGAAAAATATCAGCATCTAGAATTTCAGAGCTCTGATGGCGTCCATTTCAAACTCAAGTCTCTAAACTCAGCTGGAGACGACTCTTTCTATCAGGTAGATGCTTTCAAAGTGACTCTCACACAGTCTCCGGTGGACTGTCGTTTGGACCTCAGCGCTCAGAGAAATCTGTCAGAGGTTCACACAGTGCAAGGCTGCCCCTCCCAGTCTAATGTTATAATAGGCAACAACCGAGACAACGCTCTGATTGGTGGGTGGAAGGACGACGCCTTGGATGGAGGTGATGGAGATGACACGCTGGTAGGAGGAAATGGAGCTGACATCCTGATTGGTGGGAGAGGAGACGACACTCTTTATGGTGAAGATGGAAATGACACACTGATGGGAAACTCTGGCCAGGACGTCTTCCTTCCTGGACCAGGAGCTGATCTGGTGGACGGAGGTCCAGGCAGAGACTCTGTTCTCTATCGGGGTGATCATGAGAAGGGTGAAGGGGTTTATGTTAACCTGCTGACGGGCCAAGGCCACCATGCTGACGCTGAGGGCGACGTGTTGAAGGATGTGGAAACTGTGATCGGCACCATCTATTCGGACATCTTAGTGTCTGGTTATGAAAGTTCTCTTCTCAAAGGCTCAGATGGTAACGACATCTTGGTGTCCACTGGTGGAGATTATCTGGTTGGAGGTGATGGAAATGACATTTACATGTTCACTTTCAGCAACGGCTCAGTCACCATAGACAACTGTGCGACAGACAACGCCACAGATGTCTTGTATTTAGCGTCCCAGTCAACGCTGGCATGTGACTATCAGGTTTCATCTGAGAAAGTTATTCTGACTTTTTATGGAACCAACCAAGAAGCTATGAAGATTTCTCTAAGGGGCTGGATCAGTGACAACAATGAGTGTGGGCACCTGAAGCTGGTTCTGAGAGAAACTAATGTTTCAGTGGATCAACTGCTCCAAGAATGTCAGTCACGATGAGTAAACGGTGCTTTGCTTGTCAGTCATCTGCTGAAAAATCTGGTGGTGTTTTAATAAAAAAAATGTAAATCAATGCATTTTAGTGTAAAAATGCTACAAAGTGTTTTACATGCTAAAGTTTCCTGAAACTGTGCAAAACGACTTAAACATTTTTGTATGGTTCTTTAATTATGCTAAGCCTGAAATCAGCCTTCAGAAGACAAAAAGAAGATGTTGAAATGGCACAAATAAATTGTAAACCTTTTCCGTGTTACAATTGTGAGTTAATATCTATTAATGCATCGTTTTTTTCTTGAAATGTTTATCCATCCATCCTTCCATTTTCCTCCAATTACTGGAGGTGGGTCATGGCGGAAACAGCCTCAGCAGTGTGTAAGACCCGACCTGACATATAGACACAGACACAAACATGCATTCCCACCCTCATGCACACATATACAAACACTCAGCACTCACCCAACGTAGGGATAGACATACATGGACACTGTACACACAATCACACTCCCCACACAAACTCTATACCTCAGGTCCAGGTACCCTCGCCCCTGGAGGGGGAAACGGCACCTAGACCCAGGAGATGCTACCCTTTCCCCCGGGGTGGAGGCAGGAAACCGCCGTTTACGTGTGGATGAAAGGTGCAAACGCATAGAAAAATCTGTGTTTTCAAAAATACCCGTGTAGGTGTGGACGCAGCCTCAGTGAAAATCAGTCAGTGTTTTAGAAGGAAGTAGAGAAATATAACAGCCTTTCATTCCTAATGTGTGGTGTAGCAAACATTTTGTGCTGCTTTTGCCCTTTGTCATCTTTCTGGTTACATATTTTACGATAATCGTGTCAAAGTATAGAAATGTAACATTGGCATAGATAAAGTTCTGCTTTGTATGTGGATTTGTGACGCTTCTTCTCCTTTTACCCAAGTTATATTCATAATCTAGGTAAAACAGAAGTAAAGCAAACTTTATAATTACCTGCTAAAAATGTGTTCTGATGTGTTCTGTAGAAGAACTTTAGATTTGTCCATTATTGGAAGATCAGCTCCTTCGGTTTTGTGTAGGTCCGTATTTGTCAAGGATCATTTTTTCCAAATCTCAAATACTTGTTAACTAAACATTTATGAAACTAAATGTACAGATAATAAATAATTGTTTGGCCAACCTTGCTTAAACAATAGTGAGGCTTAGGGGCCCAGATGTCAAATGGGATTAGGCTTACATCCATGGAAGCGGAAAAAGAATGGGATTATTAGGATTTTCCGAGCCTGTCAGTGTCAGTTTCTCTCTCATGGCTTGGGGGAACTCTTTTGATGACGTTTGATGTCAGAGCAAATGTTGATGAATAGTTACCTACGTCACAACTACTATGGGGTTTTCTCCCAGTGGGCTGACTATTCCTTTGCATGGGTACACAGACGATCTATCACTGGCTCTGTCTGCTTTATCTTTCCGAGCCCTGCAATAAGCCCTACATGAGCAGTGTTCTGACGCACCACATGTCGCATGATATCAAGCCTCCACTGATGTATTGTTCACTAACAGTGACAATGTTACCAGCACAAGCATAGACTAAGTTTCATATTATTCACACACACAGACATGTTTGTGTGTATGTGTGTTGTTATTGGGAGGGACTATCAGCATTTATGTCACAAAGACAAAATACTGCAAGTACATAATAATCAGTCTAATCTGATAAAAACTGCTTCAAAGGTCGGGCACCATTCCCCCAAAATACAGTCATATTTCTATATATCTGCAAAATTTCAAAACATTACTGCTTCATTCAGGAGCAATGCTTCTGCGTCACCATGCTAACTGGACAAGTCAAAAAGAAACACAGCTGGAGTTACAGTCAGGGGGAAAACAATGATTTGAACCCCAGCTGATGTTGTCAGTTTGGCCAGCTGATCATTGCAGTGAGTAATCAGCCTGCTGTATATGAAAATAGATGCTAACACACGCCTAGCTTGGCTAACTGCTAATCACCTACCTTTCCTTATGATGATTGTTTATCACTGCTTTAATGATTCTGATAGTAAAAATACACCCTAAGTGTCAGGAATCAAGCGAGCCCCTATCAGAAAGCACCTGGTGACAGTGGGAATGAAAAACTCCTTTTTAACAGGAACAAACCTCTAGTAGAACCAGGCTCAGGGAGGGGCGGGGCCATCTGCCATGATGGGTTGGAAATCTGAGACAGAAGAAGAAGAGCAAGAAAATGAACCATCATGAAAGGACAGGACCCGCACAGCATGCAGAAGAAGTGGCTTATGTTTAGAAGTCGCACCAATGGCTAGCAAAGCTGCACTGAAAGAAAGCACATGCATTAATCATGGCAGCACATAAGGCAAGACCCCAGGTGCAGGCTGTGCAAAGATGCCCCTGAGACCATCCAGCACATAACAGCAGGGTGCAAGATGCTGGCAGGCAGGACACACGTGGAACGCCATAACCAAGTGGCCTGAAGCTGCAGGTTTTGTCACTCTCCATCCAAAATTCACTGAATCAGCAGCAAAAGAAGGTCCAAGCTACGCTTGACGTTTGATAAACATGAATTGACTCTGACTTTGGCTGTTTTACTTCCACCAGGATAAAATCACACTTCATGCACTCTCTCTCAGTGTACTTCAAGAACAGTTTCTCATCTCAAATCTCTGTTTTCTGCATTTTTCGCTTGCTTGTTGTGCATCAGTCTACCGTTGTTTACAGCGCTGTCATGTTTTGTTTTGTTATTTCAAAAATGACCTCCAAGAAGAAACGTTTTAAAATGATGCCAAATCACAAACTGCTTAGCTGTGTCTGTAATCAGACCTCTGTACCTTTGCTCTGCTTCACTTCAGCAGCATCAGGTAAAGTGACAGAGAGAATCATATGTTGATTCATGGTTTTCTTCCGTTTTTGATCTGCTGCTGAATATTTTCAAGGCAGTTTCTTTGTTTATTATTTACTGTGTTTCTGTGTGCTTGCGTGTTCCTCTTTGTTTTCTGTCACAATGTATTTTATTGATATCCCAGTTTGTGTTCTTCTACGGCATCTATGACTCACAGGCAAATATGACAGCAGGTGGTGCGTGATGTAATACGGGCCACATATAAGTGTGTTCTCTGTCTGCTGACTCTACCTGAGGACAAAGCAAAATTTGGAAACGCGAAACATTGCAAACTGGACCCCCGCTGGGTTTTGAGGTGTTTCAAGATGTCTAAATATGCACACTGAAAATGTTTACAGAGAGTGCAGGAGCTAAGTTATTGTCTTTAGGATAATTCTCTGATCACTGAAGATTTTATTACCAGGTTTTATTCATACTAACTAAACATTCAGTTGGATAAGCACAACACAATCGTTGTGTACTTCTATGACTGGTAGGTAGAGTATGTCATCACCAAGGTCCAAGCTCCCGCTTCTTCTGTATGGGATCCTCCTGTGCAGCGCCTCTGCTCCGCTTCCAGTTATCAGCCGGACGAGACAAACGGTACGAAGCGCCGGATCACTGGTTTCACCCAGCAGCAACATCTGGGACAAGAGGGAAGTGACAGCGAAAGACGGAGAATACCTGCTGGGCATAAAGAGACTGAGAAGGCTTTACTGTAACGTGGGCATTGGTTTCCACATTCAGGTCTTACCCAATGGGAAGATCACGGGCGTGCACAATGAAAACAGATACAGTAAGTAATTTTTCCTTTCCCTGATTCATCACCTTTATCATTTGTTGCTATGATAAGAACAAATATAAAGACACAACTATCTCAAAGTTTGGTCGAGTGATTTCTGCGTGGATTGAGGAGACTGCTTGTTGCATGCAAACATACTGTACATTATTATATTCTTCTGTTTTGTATCTCTACATCAAAAGATAAGAAATCATGCAGTTGCATTATGTTAATAAATAGCTTTAAAAAAAAAGAATTCCTGCTGACACTCAGAAAAATAAAGTCAGGTTTGCAATAAACTTGAAAACAATGGCCAGCAGGGGGCGGGTTTTCTGCAAAAAGTCTAATTATGTTGTCTGTAAGAAAATCATTGGAATCACTGACACGTGTTATTTAATAAAGGTTTGTAAATTATTCTCCAATAATGAGGAAATTGTTTGTCAGTCTGTCAGTCAGATCAGCACATCGGCTGAAGAAATATGACACGAACCCAGAAGTCGACGTGATTTCATGTTCAAATGTTCCCAGAACACTTTAGAGCGACTGAGTTGGAGTTCAGGAGGCAGAGCGACACATGCGAAAGTGTCCTTTAACAAAATACTGAACCCCAAAATGAATCTGTGTATGTGTGTGAATAATACATTAATGCCTGTGTTAATGCATGCAGTGAAAAGCACTTTAAGTTTTCAGTTAAAGTAGAAAAGTTCTTTATAAGCACCAGTTTGTTCACTGGCCTCCAGATGTTGCCTCCCAGAACAGAGCAGAACCTTTAACCCAGTCTCCACTTATATCATCCCCACAGCCCCATTTATAAACCAGGCTTATAATTAGTTTTGAATTCAAATATGATCTTTGCAGTAAACTGTGTGTAAATAGATATTTATAAAACGTATCTGATCTCAAAAGCAAAGTGATCTTCCTGCTAGGTTGACGCTGCTGTTTGGAACACAGTTACAGGTTGAATGAATGAATTATCATAAAAAATGGTTGGAATTATGGGGCACAGACTCAGTAATGACTGCACTAATGTGTTTGTGCATTATAAGCTTTCTCATCTGACCACCTTTTTAGGCTCAGAGGTTTTGTGTTTGTTGTTTGTCTGATTGATGTGAGGAGTTCTTCTGGTGACGACACACAGAATCCAAAAGAAGGAAAACACAGCAGGATACTTCAGGTGAATCATACGAGAAAATAAATGATCTAAAACTTGCAGCAACATGGAAAAATACAAACTACACAGGAGAGAAGATGAATGTACATGTCTATACGTATAGCAGTGACATATAAACACATGCAGGAGATGGTGTTTATGACGTGTCTCCTTAGCCTTCATGATATGAGAGGTCAGTGCTACAGGCCTGCAGCCCCTGGATGCTTCTTCTAAGGCACTGGGACCAGCCACATCATTTTCCATAGCACTGGGAGTCTCTGGAGTTGCTATGGAGGCTGACGTTGTAGAGGTGATAGAGTACTCCACACACTTAGCTAACACAGGCCTTCAGCACAGATGCTGTTTATGTGAACAAACTGAAATCAGATAATCAAACCAAAATAACAAAGTGCATATTTGTTTTTGTGTCGTGGAAATGGAGAGATAT